ACCACGTTTTTTATATGCCACCCAATGAGCTCCAGGTCCAGTTTTATCATCGAGATTAATAATTGCTGATTCATTTTTCCACGGTGAAGATTTTGGAAGATCATTTCGCATAAAAACACCACGAAAAAAGGGCATTTTCATGATTTTTGCATATTTTTGAAATGCAATATCAGTCAGTGCACGATGGGGTAAGTTTAAAAGTTTTTTTTTTTACCGGTTTCAAATACAATCCTAATCCTCTCGTGTGCGGTTTTAGACGTGAACCTTTACCGAAAGCTATTGCTTCCATTTTCTCGTTATGTCGTATAGCTTCTTTTAGTTGACGTTTGGCGTCTCTAGCATCATTAATTGCTTTTACAATGCCAGCAGCGCCCCCTGCTACAGCACCAACTGCACTTAAACCTGCAAATAGAGGTATAGGAAGTAAAATACCTCTCACTTTTCGTTCAGCAATATCTGCGTCTCTCGCAAAAACACGTTTTATAGATTTTTCAGCAAGTATTCTATCAGCTGCGTTTCTAGCTTCAATGTTATCTCGATTTTGCGAATATGCAATATCGTGTTCTTTACAAGCAGCGTCTAATGGATTGATTCCTGGATCTCCACGTGCTCATCTCTCCTTCAATTTAGTTCCTGGACCACAATAATGATATCATGGTATATGAAGTTCAAATGGCAATTTGTTTATAAGTGTGTTAACAATACCAGCACCTCGTTTTTTGATACGTCTTTGCACTATCATTGTTCAAGAACGACTAACTCGACACCTATAAAAGATGTAAATTTATAGCTAGAATGTCATTCTACATCAAGATGAAGTTCAATCAACAAGACATTAAGTTGCCTGTAATGAACTTTGACCTATCACGAGACACAAATATCAAACGTCACGGACAACTTTTACCAAATAGTGTCCGTGGTGTTATTTGTGGTCCATCAAATTGTGGAAAGACAAATACTCTTTTAGCACTTATTGTACATCCAAATGGCCTACGATTTGAAAATATCTATTTGTATTCAAAATCATTTAACCAACCTAAATATTAGTTAAAAAAAAAAAATAATTGAACCAATTGAAGTTATTTAATTCTATGCTTTTAATGAGCATGAGGAAGTGGTAAAACCGGATAAAGCAAAACCGAACTTAATTATGATTTTCGATGATGTAGCATGCAAAAAACAAGATAATATGTAAATCTATTTTTGTATGGGACGACATAGAGATATTGACTGCTTCTATCTTTGTCAAACTTATGCACGAATTCCTAAACATTTGGTGCGTGACAATACAAACTTTCTTGTACTTTTCAGGCAAGATGACATGAATCTAAAACACATTTACGATGATCATGTAAATACTGACATGACTTATTCTCATTTTCGAGATATATGTTCAATGTGCTGGAATAATGATAAATATGGCTTCTTGGTAATTGATGAAGACAGTGATCTTAATAATGGGCGATATAGAAGAGGATTTGATTGCTTCATTAGTATAAATTCACCGTGAATACATTAAACTGTACATTATTTGTGATTGTCAAAGTGTCAACATGAAAACTACGAAGCTGCAACAAGAAAGAAAATATTGCATCAAATAGCGAAAGTTAGTGATGGAATACGCCAAAAGCATAAGTTGATTAAACTTGGAAGAGATATGACTCAACGATCCATGAGTGAAATATTTAAACCTATGGTGACTCCTCTTAAACAATTAGCTGATAAAACACTTATTAAAGAGGAACCTCATGAAATAAAAATAAAAAAAGAAGAAATTAAAGAAGAAGTTGGAAGCAAACAAGAAAGCCTTACACCTGATTATGAAATAACTGATGATGATTCTTATACAACAGCAAAAATTACCCATCAAAGTACTCCTATTAAAGACATACCTGTAGTAAGGTATTTGAAGATGTTCGATTCTAAGCTCTTGTCCAAAGAATTAGATACAAAGTATGGCATACGAAAGTTAAAAGGTAATCGACTGATGATGGGTGATTCTGAAGTCAGGTTCGACAATAATTTTATTTATATTGGTGATAAAAAATACAATACTACTTCTGGTCTATTGGAATTATTATTTATGAATTCGCCTGATCAATTAAAAATAACAAAAGAAGATAAAAACACTTATGGCAGAATTATCAGTATGACAAACGCCTATCGAAAGCATTGTCTTCCTGACAGAAGTATCAGAGTAGATAAGAATCTAAGAAAATTCACCGGCATAATCAGTAAATATATACCAAAAAGTGGAGGAAGTTTACCACAATATATCATTAAACATAAACAAAACCATCCTACCGATTATATTTATTGGGATGATCCCAATAAACTTGTAGATCGACTTCGTTTACTCATTGCATCTCAAACTGCTGGAAATTTCAGTCATACTAACGAGATTTTATCAATTTTAAAGGAATTGCGTGAAGCTAAAATCATTTATTAATCTGATGTATTCTACATAGCTACTCATTCTTTGAAGAACTTTTGAAGTGAGAGGTTTAAAAATGAGTGTTGACGTTTTTGGACGACAATTAGCGAAAGATATTGTGAAAAGTGCTGTTCGTGGGCCTCCTGGTGAAGGATTCAAATTAACTGGGGATCAACAGTTTGACATGAATAATAAGAGATTGTGTAATCTCGCTGAACCAGTAGATTTGAATGATGCAACATCATTAGGAGTAATTGAAAAAAAGATGACTATTTTAAAAAAATTTATTGAAATAGAATTACGTCTGTTACGCGAAACTGTAGCAAATTTAAGAAGAATTGTTGAAGAAAATAGAGAAAGAATCAAAATCATTAATGTTCAAGTAGAGCAACATATTGAATCATCACAAGAACATCGTAAACGTCTGAAAGAAGAATTGAATGAAACAATTGAACTGCATGAGTCAGATCGATTACGTTTACTGAAAAAAGCAAATCGTAAACAAGCTGAAAGTATTAAACAATTGGAAGAAAATATTCGGAAATATATTGATCAGCAGCATCATCAACAAGGAGAGAAAAATAAAAGTTGAAGAGCTACATAGATCGGTTAGAAGAAATCATTAATGACATGTTCATATACGTGGTCTTGATAAAACTTGGCAAGCTGATCTAGTTGACATGACAGCATATAAATCTTATAATAAAGGTCATCAGTATTTATTGATTGTTATTGAGGTTTTGCCAAATACGCTTGGGCCGTGCCCACAAAATCTAAAAATGGTAATGATATCGCTCATGCAATGAAATCTATTTTATCACAAAAAAGAGTGTCAAAATTTTTGCATGTTGACAGAGGAAAGAAATTCTGCAATAGACATTTTGGAGCACTTATGAAACAATATAATATCAAAATGTATTCCACATTCAGTAATCTTAAGGCATCTATATGTGAACGATTTAATCGCACGTTAAAAAGTCAAATGTGGAAACAATTTACGTTGCGAGGTAATTACCAGTGGACAGACATCTTACCAAAATTGATGACATCATATAACAATAGCAAACATAGAACCATCAAAATAAAGCTGATTGATGTTACTTCAGCCAATGAGAAACAATTACGTCATACTATCTATAATAATAAACTTGAAGTTCAACAAAAAATAAAAAAGACTAAATTCAAGGTTGGGGACAAAGTACGCATAAGTAAATATAAGCATGTCTTTGAGAAGGGATACACCCCTAATTGGACAACTGAAATCTTTAATGTAAGTCAAGTATTGAATACTGATCCAGTAACCTACAAGCTTGTCGACTATCGAGATCAACCGATTGAAGGAGGTTTTTATCAAGAAGAATTGACTAAGGTTCAATACCCTGATATTTATTTGGTAGAAAAAGTTCTAAAAAAACCTGGTAATCAAGCTTTTGTCAAGTGGGTAGGATTCGATAAAACACACAATAGCTGGATTAACATGAAAGATTTATAATGTCTCTAACGGATGAGTTAGAAACAATGACTGCCAAAATGTCTTTAGCTGAAGAGCTAGAAACAATGGCTGACAAAATGTATAGTGATGCTCAAAAATTACCACGTTATACAAAATATAAAGCTGCTAATATGAAATGGATACCTTTAACTCATGGAGAACAACAAAAAATTAATAAGGAAGAAGAAACAATTAAACATCTTCATAAAATTGATAAACGAATGTTAAAAGATTTTAAAAAAAAAATAAGACTGTTGAGAATTAATTAATTCTCAATTTGAATTTGCCAGCTGACAGGAACTTCGGCGGCCATCTTGGGACTGGGTCGATAACCAATCGACCTAATAATCAATAATTCTTTATCTAGTCACTCATTTGACTACTTTTGAGTGTCCCTTTTGACTAATGAAGTTCCTGTCGCCATTCTTTCACTGTTCTCGTTCACGTGTACACGCCATTCTTATTCATTCTTAACAAATCTTATAATTGTGAGTCAATCATCAGTACTAGTGCTATTGTAAATCATCAAAAAATTCAGGCTTTACGCTAAATCTATAATCAAGTAATATTTCACGATAATTCATTGTAAATTCAAGACATTTCATAAAATTCATTTTGCATTGCATTGATAGGCTAACGCCACGTGCACAATCATATTCTTGCTCAACTTGAGAAGCGTGCTGAGCTCGTGTGGGAGGTCAATAATACTGAACACACCAAGTTGAGTATTTTTTAGACATTCAATTCACATTCAGTAATTAAAACTAGACATTCAGTGATTTTGAGCGACATTCAGTCTTCCTAGTGAACAACTCAAGTTCGTCAGTGTATTCAGTGTACCTGTTAGTGCTGAAAATAAAGATATTTTATTTTTGTTATAAAACCCGACTTCCGTTTGCTCTGTTCCGGCACAATCATCCCTATCCTTAAACGGTTAGGTTAATTCACAAGTTGAGATTTTCTCATCATTTAATTTGGTCCTTCGAGCCGGATCAGAGCTCTCGGTTTTGAAGTACAAATTTTTTGGTGCTACCAGTGCACTGCTTCCGGCAATCAAGTGTGTAAGTGCACAAAATGGCCGATCAAGACAGGAAGAGTGAGGACCAAGAGTCCACGACCTTGAAGCCTCAACCAACAATCAGCGTGACTCCTGACGATGGTGTAGAGGAGTTTGGTAGTCCAACTGATCAACTAGAAGAGCCAGATCTCCAGCCACAACGGAGATCGACAACTGAAAGCACAATACAGACAATCACACCATCAAATCCTGGTCTACCGATTCAATTGACCTTCAAGATCAAGTCTCAAATGGCTCGGCTACGCTTAGCCCAATCATTCACTCAGCAAATCAAAGACCAACAACAGACAATCACTAAAGAAGAAAGACTCTCGCTGGAGAAACAACTCACAGCGCTGCACGAGTCATTCAATTCAGAACATCAAGTGCTCGAGGAGGTTTGGCCACCATCTCAATTTCATCATCCGTACATTGTGGATGATGTCTTTGAGACATTCAACAAATCAGTCTCAGACTTCTTCATGATATCTGCTAAGGTAGCTTCCAAGGAACCTCCAGCACAATCAACATCAACCAGTGGTGCATCTGACGTAGCACAAGCATTAGCCCGACTTCCAAAGTTATCAGTACCAAAATTTTATGGAACCAGTGCATCCTGGTTGTCATTCAGAGATCAGTTTGAGTCCATGATAGCCAATCAACCTGGTCTGGATGAGGTAATCAAGTTTAATTATCTCAAATCAGCTCTTTCAGGTCCAGCTCTCTCTCTGGTAGAGAACCTTCCTCACACGAAGGAATCATTCACCAAGGCATGGTCGACACTCAAATCCAGGTACGAGAATCGCAAGAGGCTCATCAATGTTCACCTGGAAAAACTCTTCAGCCAGTTTGCTGAGTCTAAAAGAGCTGCTCTTCATTCAGCCAAGATATCATCTTTACTCACCATCGTAGACAATTCATTGGACTCACTCAAGCTATTGGGACAATCAACTGAGAATTGGGATACAATTCTCATCTTTCACATTCTCAAACATCTTGACCAACACTCTCGTGAGCTCTGGGAAACTCAGGACAATGATCTTGAGCGGATGGCTACGTACTCAGAGTTTCGTGAGTTTCTGCTGGCTCGGATTCGTACCTTGGAGAAACTGGAGCCACGAATCAAATCAGACAATCAACAACGCTCATCGCATTCAACTACCAGTGAGCGTAGATTCATTTGTGACTGCTGCAATGGCGGTCATTTCATCGTAGTCTGCCCAGAATACAGGGCTTTGCCTCTTGAACAGCGATTGAGGACTGTAGACAGTAAAAAACTCTGCAGGAACTGTCTTGGAAGACATAACACACCAGCTTGCACCAACAAGAACAGATGTAAGGAGTGCAACTCTAAACATCATACAATGTTCCATTCACTACTATTCAGACAATCATCAAGCAACAACAATCAAGCGTCTTCCAGGACACAATCATCACAACAATCATCATCAGACACTCAGCCTTCAACTTCACAGCAATGAGGAGGCGAAGCAGTCTTCGAAGAACATTCACACAATTCACAGACATTCAAGCTTGCTGATGGACTTGCTCTGGAGGGTCAAACTGACTGGATGACCTTAGCACATGAGGTTTCGGCCTCAGGAGGGTTGAGGGTTCAGTTGGAATGGTCCAAAGGACAAGCTCAGAAGCAGCAAAATCATCTAGGACAATCAAAAGGTCAGAATGACCACAGGACAATCAATCAACATTCAACTAGTAGTGCTATCAGCACACAAAATCATCAATCAAGTGACGTTAAATCAACTCAACTCAGCAGACAATCACCGACGAGAGCAATCTGCTCAAGTCAAACAATTCCAAGTCATCTACATGATCATTCAACGCTGTTAGCAACAGCAAAAGTCAGAGCCAATTCACATTCAGGGAGTTACATTGCACGAGTGCTCATAGATCCTGGATCAGAGCTAACACTAATCACTTCTTATCTAGCCAATCTGCTGCAACTGAGAAAACACCATCAGACAATCAACATAAGAGGAGTGGGCAGCTCTAAGCTCACTCAAACAAAAGGTGTAACATTCTGCGAGCTACAATCATTATCATCCAATCATTCAGTACACATTCGAGCTCACATAATGAAACAGTTGACAGCTTCAATTCCAAAAGTGCCATGTAATTATCCCAACAATCACTGGCCTCATCTCAATGGATTAACACTAGCTGATCCAACATTCAACACTCCACAATCGATAGACATTCTACTTGGAGCTGACTTTTATGGACAAATCATCAAACAAAATATCATATTTCATTCTCCAACAGCTCCTATAGCTCAACTTTCTATCTTTGGTTGGCTAATTCTTGGTCCAGTAGCACCAAATTCATCAGTCAATCACTATCACATTCATCATGCTACTACAATCACGAACCATGAAGACATTCAAGAGTTGCTAACAAAATTCTGGGTCCAAGAAGAAGTTCCTATGTCAAATCAACATCAATTATCATCCTTGGACCAACAATGTGAAGATTTCTTTAAATCAACTCACTCTAGACATTCATCAGGACGATATATTGTTAGAATCCCACTCATTTCTTCACCCTCAGCTCTTGGGGACTCCTATACAACTGCGTATCGATGTTTGAGGCGTCAGTTGAGGAGATTAACCAACGAGACTGAATACAGCAATCTGTACAGACAATTCATGAAAGAATACGAAGAACTCGGTCATATGAGACCTGCTCCAACAATCAACCCAGAGTCTCAAGACATTCATCCATATTTTCTTCCTCATCATGGGGTATTAAGGCCAAGTAGCACTACCACCAAGCTCAGAGTAGTCTTCAATGGATCCAGCCCGACGTCAACTGGAATCTCATTGAATGACATCACTCATACTGGAGCAAAAATTCAATTGGACATCTTCGACGTACTTCTTTGGGTTCGTCAACATCAATACGTATTCGCAACCGACATAACAAAAATGTATCGTCAAATAATGGTTCATCATGAAGATTGGAAGCTTCAACAAATTCTTTGGCTAGACAATCACAACAGAATCATCCCATATCAACTCACAACAGTAACCTACGGCACTAGATCAGCTCCTTATCTAGCAGTTCGTGTGTTACTGCAATTAGTAGAGGATGAAGGCCATAAATATCCAAAAGCAACTCAGACAATCATTAAAGGCAGATATGTCGACGACATATTTGGAGGAGCAGATTCTCCAGAAGAACTAATTCAAGTTGCTGAGGAATTAATCAACTTGTGCAAGGCGGGCGGCTTTCCCCTTGCAAAATGGCAATCAAACAGTCAATCACTTCTTCAAAAAACGTCACAATCATCAGGCAATCAACAAAAAAATCACCTTCGAAGACTGCACTACAAAATTCTTGGACTTCAATGGAATCCAAGCTCAGACACATTCACATTCACATCAAAATCAGTCACTCATGAGTCAACATATTCAAAACGCCTCATTCTTTCAGAAGTAGCTCAAATTTATGATCCTTTGGGGTTTGTGTCACCAATCACAATCAGAGCTAAGATGCTTCTTCAAGAACTCTGGTTACACAACCTCAGCTGGGACAAACCAGTCCCACAATCAATCATCAATCGCTGGCTGATCATCAGAGAAGAATTCACTCAACTTCATGAGATTTCACTTCCCCGATGGATTCACACAACCAGACATTCAACTGTCGAGATTCATGGATTCTCTGATGCTTCACAGCTTGCGATGGCTGCAGCAATCTACTTAAAATTCAATTCACCGTCCACAGGGCCCAAAATCACACTCATCTGTGCGAAAACTAAAGTAGCACCAATCAAACAAATCACGATCCCCAGGCTAGAGTTAACTGCTGCGTTAATTCTAGCGAAACTCACGAAGTATGTTCGAGCTACACTCCACAGAGTGAACATACATTCAATTCACTTATGGACGGACTCTTCAATCACACATTCATGGATCAATTCAAATGCAGGACGCTGGAAGGACTTTGTAAGGAACAGAGTAGTGCAAATTCAAGAACTAGTTGCGGACGCGCACTGGCACCACATTTCTGGCAAGGAAAATCCAGCGGACTGTGCTTCAAGAGGCATCACAGCAAATCAATTAAAAGATTACTCGCTATGGTGGAGGGGACCCACCTGGTTAGCTGAAAATCAAGAAAACTGGCCAGTAAATTCACCACCAGCTGACGAGGCTTGCAACTTAGAAGCTCGTCCTGGAATTTCACTCATCGCAGCAATTCAAGATACAATAATTCAATGGGACTTGGTCAACAGATATTCAACACTCAACAAACTACTTAGAATCACCGCCTTAATCATCAAATTCACTTCAAGACTTCGACATTCTTCAGTTACCAGTCCTTTAGCATCAATCACAACAGCTGACATCGAAAAAGCGAGAATCTTCTGGATAAAGTCTACTCAAGCAGCACATTTCACCAAGAAATCAGGACTTTATCCAACAATCAACATCTTCCACCAAACCATTCATTTAACAGACTCACAGCATACGTTGACTCAGAAGGAGTTCTACGAGTAGGAGGACGACTTCAGCATGCTCAGTTGAGTCATGATTCAAAACATCAATCAATTCTACCTCGACATTCACCATTCACCACTCTTATTATTCGACATTACCATTTAATCACGCTACATGGTGGCACTCAACTTACACTCACAACAATCAGACAACGTTACTGGATCATGGGTGGAAGAGCTCCAGTAAAAACATTCATTCTTCGGTGCATCGAATGTGCTCGACAAAGAGGCATAAGAGCACAACAACTCATGGGCCAATTGCCACAATCACGTATCACTCCTTCACGGCCATTCTCTCATACTGGCATAGACTATGCTGGGCCATTCACAATCAAAACATCATCAGGCAGAGGAGCCAAGACTAGAAAAGCTTGGGTCTGCGTATTTGTCTGCATGTCAACTTCTGCAGTTCATTTGGAAGCAGTTAGTGACTATTCAACTGAAGCATTCATTGCTGCCTACAGGAGATTCACCTCTAGACGAGGATTATGCCAGACAATCTATTCTGACTGTGGCAGAAATTTCATTGGAGCTGATATAGAACTCAAGAAATTATTCACACAATTCACCAGAGAACATGAGGTCATCTCTAGATTCATCATCACCAACGGCACTCAATGGTCATTCAACCCACCTGCAGCACCACACATGGGTGGCAAGTGGGAGTCAGTAGTGAAATCACTTAAATTTCATTTGACGAGAACAGTAAAAGAATCACTCTTCACGTTTGAAGAGATCACCACACTACTGACACAAATAGAAGCCATTCTCAACTCAAGACCTCTAGAGCCAATCAGTGATGACCCAGAAGACATTCAAGCACTCACTCCTGGACACTTTCTTATTGGGTCAGCACTCAACACTGTTCCTGAACCATCAACCTCAGAACCTGCACATTCAATTCAAAATCGATGGCGGATGATTCAACGACAATCACAGCAGTTCTGGTACAGGTGGTCACAATCTTACTTACAAAAATTACAAGCTATTTCTAAGTGGTTTTTCAGGAACAGAACAATTCAAGTTGGTGCATTAGCCTTGCTAACTGATGAAAGATTTCCCCCCACGAAATGGCCACTCGTGAGGATAATTCAACTACACCCAGGGCAAGATGGGCTTCCACGAGTAGCAACGGTGAAGACACCAACAACGACGTTGGTCAGACCAATCGTCAAGCTAGCCATTCTACCAATCAACCCAACTCCTGAAGCCCAGCAGCAGAATCAACCAGAAGACAATCATCAACCAGTTGCTGATGGCGGGCGGCATGTTGAGAATTAATTAATTCTCAATTTGAATTTGCCAGCTGACAGGAACTTCGGCGGCCATCTTGGGACTGGGTCGATAACCAATCGACCTAATAATCAATAATTCTTTATCTAGTCACTCATTTGACTACTTTTGAGTGTCCCTTTTGACTAATGAAGTTCCTGTCGCCATTCTTTCACTGTTCTCGTTCACGTGTACACGCCATTCTTATTCATTCTTAACAAATCTTATAATTGTGAGTCAATCATCAGTACTAGTGCTATTGTAAATCATCGAAAAATTCAGGCTTTACGCTAAATCTATAATCAAGTAATATTTCACGATAATTCATTGTAAATTCAAGACATTTCATAAAATTCATTTTGCATTGCATTGATAGGCTAACGCCACGTGCACAATCATATTCTTGCTCAACTTGAGAAGCGTGCTGAGCTCGTGTGGGAGGTCAATAATACTGAACACACCAAGTTGAGTATTTTTTAGACATTCAATTCACATTCAGTAATTAAAACTAGACATTCAGTGATTTTGAGCGACATTCAGTCTTCCTAGTGAACAACTCAAGTTCGTCAGTGTATTCAGTGTACCTGTTAGTGCTGAAAATAAAGATATTTTATTTTTGTTATAAAACCTGACTTCCGTTTGCTCTGTTCCGGCACAATCATCCCTATCCTTAAACGGTTAGGTTAATTCACAAGTTGAGATTTTCTCATCAAAGACCAATAAGAATGAAGATGATTTTGTCATATTATTTGTAGACGATGAGTTCAATACAAACTAATGTAAATAATTTATAATATTTTGTTTTTTTATTGAATAAATTTTTTTTTTTCTTACAAATTATTTTTTTTTTTTTTAACATAAACCTCATATTTAAAATAATTTAATTACACTATTTAATATAAATTATAACCCCAAGGAAGAGTATCAGTTGATTGTGCTAAAATAACTCTTTTATTCTCTTCCCAACTTAATGCTAATTTTTGTCTACTAATTGTATGTACTTCATGTTTCTTGCTGACTATATGATATTCCGTTTTACATAATTTTCATGATCAAGTAAGCATTTTTTGTAATCATCGATTGTTATAGATTCTATTGTTGCAGTTTTAACACACTTTGCTTTAGGTTCGTCTTTTCTTTTTTTTTTTATTCTAAACTTCGAATGTATACATTTTGGCTTTCAGACCAATGAATTCCGTCATTATTCCGCCTTTATTTTCATCTTTCATAAGACCTGCAATTTTTTTACTATCTAATGGAATATTAAAACAGTTATATGGTGGATAGTCTGAGGTGTCAAATTTATGTATAATATCTTTGATGCAATCATAAATATCAGCATTGAGAAATTGATAAATTAAACTATCTGTATCTGTGTATAATAATTTTACCTGATTGTCTGTAAATTGTCTTTTAATTAAATTGTAATGGAGGCATAAATAAACATTTTTGAAAGATCTAAAACTACAAATCCTACGTATATCGGCTTATTGAAATATATATTTTTTCGCTCCATTTCTATTATTACCATTTCATTGTCAAAAATTATACTATTGTGGAATTTTGGAAAGGCAATGAGATTTTTTGCACCTTACCGACCTTCCCACTGTGTAACTATCTTTACACTTCTGTACGTTTTTCATTGTTTTTCCGTAAACTGCATTATTCATTAATTTATAGAAATTTTTTTCAAAATCATTTTTAGATTTTTTTCGTAAATCTGTATTTAGATCTACATACTTCTTTATTCATGGTGATTGATTAAATTTAAGGATTCTATCGATTTTGGTCACAATCATTCCTGAATCGAGACATTGTTTTAAATTTCTGTAGTGAATTACATATTCAAGTTTAGGTAACAATGTCGTCATAAGTTTGCTAGTATTCCTGTTTAGAGGTTTGTGGTGTTTAGGACACAATGGTAAATCTTTATGATGCTCGTGTAAGATGTGTGGATACTCTAAATCAACCTCGAAAATATAACTAACTGAAGAATCCTTGGAGATATTTTTAATTATTTCATAGATATTAGAAATGTCGATGTCATCTTTCATCCATTCAAATGATCCAGTCGGTAGATACTCACTCATTGCTGCGCCATACAAATTATTTACATCGAAATACATGGGATATGATACATTGTCATTGGGGTTATAATCATTGCACACATACGGGTTATTTGCTTTTGCATATCTATTTGAACACTGTGCCACTCCTCCTCTCATACCTTTTTCTATGAAATTGAGCATTTCTACATTGTCCAAGAGTTCGAGTTCAATTTCTGTATATTTCAACATAGCATCGAAAGCTAATCCAGGTGCAGTGTAGTAATGTAACGGATCAAGCTCATAAGTAGAGATACATTTTTGTCTAAGATTTTGTAAAATGTCTGCTAACAGAAGAACGTCTGTTTTTAAATACAAATCTGAATATTCACCGAGGGTGTTTAGTTGAAATTGATCCCAAACGTGGCGTGCATGTTGGTAATCGTCATCGGAAATGACCGAATCGTTGAGTTTCGAATAGAATTTTGTTTTGTCAGGTAGTTGTCGTTCGTCAAGATTTTCCCAACTGTCAATACATTCATATGGGAAAACACCTTTACGAGTTACTAACTGAAATTTATCTGGCTCGAGATAGAAACTTTTGGTAATTGATTTCGCGTTATTATCCAAAAATGATGCAAGTTTCTCAATACTATTGCTCATGAATAGGAAAGAATCAATAAATCGTAATTTAACAAATATTTCTTTTTTTCTTTTTTCGTGGGAAATTTTCTGATCAACTGTTTTTGTAAATGCTATGTATTTTTCTTTATTGACAGGTAATAATTCCATATAACCTTTAAATGATGCAGCTAATAATTTAATAAAAAAATGTGAGTCATGTCCTGAGAGGTTATGAAAAATGACTGGAATTATGCATGAATTTTAATCATTTAAATTACAATTAGCATGAGCAGCGCCTCGATAATTGCCTGTAAAGTGACAGTGATCATGTACTCTCGTTTCATCATGTAAAAATGATTTATTACAAATGTGACAGATTTTTGCATTATGAAAATCGTTTAACTATTGGGATGTTAATGGTTTCATTGGTACTACGTTTTCTAGGTAAGTTTTGAAAGTTTCAGCTATTTTTTTCAACTCAGTCATGAACCAGTTTATACAATTAACGTTACGTTCAAGATTAAATCGACATTTTGAATGGTCATATGTACAGTGCATATAATAGGCTACACTACATGGAATATGCTTTTGATTACCTTCATTATCAGCTTCAAGAATACTCTCAAGATCGGCATAGATAGCAAATGGCACAGGCTCTTTAAAATGAAAATTTTTAAATTTCATTTTAACACTTTTTTCCGGAAGTGAAATTCGCGTATCATTCATATTGATACAATCTTTTTGATGATTTTTATATGATTTTTCTATCTTAAAGTGATTTAAACATCTATCACATAGGAATAGTTTGTGTGCATTTTTAGAAATTTGATTTCCAACTAATCTTGAAAGATCCTTTATCAGACAAAAATGAAAAACTGGATTAATATTATTATTTTCATCACCTACTTCTACTCTACTTTGTACCATTAACAGGTGAATACATGGTTCATCTACTTTATAATATTTACTTGAATATAACGAAATAATTTCAGAATTATTATCTAAACCATATGTACCGTCATCTAAACCATACACATTTATTGCTAAATCGTTGAGTTTT